ACCATGAGTCCCTTATTCCCAGAGCTGCCTTCTCTCTCTGTGTCTCCATGTTGAACAATCTCAGATTTTCTATGTTTGGCAAACCCACAGAGAACTATGTGATTTTCTCAAATAACAAGAATCAACCAGCAGCTTTTACATATTTTCCAAAACTTTGTTTAAGGTGCTGGAAACATATTATGTGTATCCAAAATTTATGTGATTTTTAAAATAGCAAATCATATTTTATTTTAACCCTATTTCATTAAAATGCACCAGAAAACATACAGTAGTAATGGCCTACGTATGTAAAGGGCATTGTTGAAAGACTAGCTGAACTTTGGTCTGTAACAGTACAACAGTATTTAGTATGATCGTACAGCACAGGACTGTAGATCTGGAAATGTTTTCAGTATAATTGCTGAAAAGGAGGTAATGTACAGTATGCTAACTGAGGGAATGGAGAGAGTGGAGAAATACCTGCAGTTTAGCTAAAAAATACAGAAAGCTATCTGGGAATCAGTATATTAATAATTTAATATAGTGGGGGTTACTGAAACATGACATGTTTAATTTTCTTTGTTTTTAATGAGGAATACTGGTATATTATAACCTTTATGTTTCAGGATTGGCTTGAAAGAAAGGAAGGGAATGTGAGGTTGTGCTTGTATTTATTTTGGTTGGACATTGTAATCCAAGTAAAGAAAGCATCAGAAGCATTTTAAAATAAAGGTATAATTGTGAACTTTTTGTTAAAATGATCAAGAAAGCAACGTTTGACAAACCTGTGTTGGTTTCTTGAATTAAACCTTCTCATAAAGCCTTTGATGATTTTATTTCTTCATGTTGGTTACAAAATGCAAATGTTCCTAAATACATTCAATGTAATCAATGTAATCTTCAGTGTAAACTTTAATGACTAGTAATCTATTCATCCATTTTCCTTTATCCTATAAAGGGTCTTTTCCAGGCAAACAACAAGTATAGTACAAGGCAGAAAACAACCTGGGCAGACACCACTCACACCAGAGCCATTTTTGTCCTGGAAGCCAATTAACCTACCAGTATGTCTTTGGACCAGATCACCTGGAAGAAACCCACACAAACACAGGAAGAACATACAAACTCCACACAGATAGCATCCCAGGATCAAACTCAGGTGCCCCAGTATTGCAAGGCAGAGATGCTACCCACTGCGCCACCATGTCCCCTATAACTAGCAATTAAAATCATTATTATCAATGAACTCCTTTTTCCTTAATATCCAATGTACTTTTTTTTGGTACTGTATATTACAGCCATTTAAATTTCTAACACCATGAATAATAATTGCTTACATTATATAGTGATTTTCTGGACACTCCACTGAAAGCACTTTACAGGTAATGGGGACTCCCCTCACCAATGTGCAGCCCCACCTGGATAATGTGACGGCAGCCATAGTGCACCAGTACGCTCACCACACAATATCAGTGGGGAGGAGAACCGAGTGATGAAGCCAATATATAGATAGGGTTTATTAGGAGGCCATGATTGGTTAGGGACAATGGGTAATTTGGCCAGGACGCCGGGGTTACACTCCTACTCTTTTCAAGAAACGCTCTGGGATTTTTAATGACCACAGAAAGTCAGGACATCGGTTTTACGTCTCATCCGAAGGACAGCACCTTTATAGTATAGTGTCCCTATCACTGGGCATTACGACCCACATAGACCACAGGGTGAGCACCACGTACTGGCCCCAATAACACCTCTTCCAGCAGCAACCTTAGTTTTTCCCAGTAGGTCTCCTATCCAGGTACTGCCCAGGCTCACACCTGCTTAGTGTCAGTGGGTTGCCAGTTGTGAGTTGCGGGTGATATGGCTGCTGGCCTCAACTAAAGTTAATTTATTATGCCATGGCTTTCCATTTTCTTTCACTGTTTTAGTATTGGGTAATTGTGGTGTATTATACCTAACATATACCTCAGTAGAAATTTACAGTAAATAGGCTTTTGTAGCATTATGTTAAAATCTTATAGGGCTTAGCCACAATTTATCGATCCACAGTACTTTCTTCATCCAAGGCTTTTAAATGCAATTACACAGTTTTTAATCCCTAACTCTTACATGCTTTCATATCTTGAAACCCATGTAACCCATTGTTTACAGCACTGGTTTTGCATTATGCTCTAAAGCTTAACTACAACCAATACTTGTGAACTTTAGGAGCAGAAATAGCTTGCCATCTACATGAAAATGATCTGTATGTTTGGAAACCATTCATAATGTAGATAATGTAGAAAGCTGGCTGACCCAGCCGTCTGTGGGCCAGAGAACATTTGGAGTGGTGCCAAGAGAGTGGTAGAGTGCTCTATTCACCAAATCATAGCTGGTACTGATTTTGTATTGTTGTCTTCTTGACAGTGTTACGGTACATTTCATACTGAAAACATATTATGATTATTTTATCAACATGTTTGTTGTATGCATGTGACGAGAACTCACTCCAAGCCTCCACTCTTGTTTTCTACTTTCACGAAAAATTATAAATAGAAATTAGCTAAATGAAATTAGTTAGATGAAATAGATTAAATTAGAGTTGTCATTTAGTAATCTTTTAATTGACTTTAATCTGAATCTTCAAAAACTCAGTTGCAACAGTTCAAAGTAAACAACACATGAGCAGCATATATCATGTGCTCTTAGTAGCTTATCTATCATGTTTTTCAATCAAATTTCTCTCAGGTGTTCCTCTTCATTAATAATGGGTGTTTCTCTCTACACATCCATAAACCTAAAAGACTTCTTTTGTAGCACAGGACAGATATCTATTAGGATTTCTATTATATAACTGTTAATGACTAAAATTTTGGAGAGTAGAAGTTAATAAAGGAATTGTGTTTCTGCATAAAGAAGGAAAAAACACTGAGAGAAAAGAGCACAAAAATCATACAGTACATGTCTCGGATGTTTGCATAGTAACATATTAGATTTAATTGAATCCGTTCCATCCATATTTATAACTGCTTCATCCAATGCAGGGTCACAGGGGAGCCAGTGTCTACTCCCAGCAAGCAACGGGTGCAAAGCAGGATATACTCTGGGTGGGACACCAGTCCATTGCAGGACTGATGCAGTCCATACAGTCCATGCAGGCACAGACATGCACACACTCACACCAGGCCCAATTTTCCCAGAAGCCAGTTAACCTACCAGTATGTCTCTGGCCTGTGGGAGGAAACAGAAACATCTGGAGGAAACCCATTTGCACACTGGGAGAACATACAAACTCCACACGCATAGCATCACAGTTCCTGAATTGAACTCTGGGCGGCATCACTGCAAAGCAGCAATGCTTACAACTGCACCACCATGCCACCCTTGATTTAAACCATTATTGTTGCATTTCATTTGTGCATTAGTATATGTTACAGACTACTTTGTGATGGAAAAGAACTGTTCAAGATTGGTGAATATGACTATGACATATTGAACAAAACAGTGCCAACCATGTAAATGAGTAAATACTTTTTACTTCTTTACATGTAATTTCTTATTAGTTAGTGACTAATGACACTGTTGTAGGAAGTGTTGTCCTTTGGGTGAAATAACTTGAAATTCTGATACTTCTCACTTCACTGTTTTGTGTTTCCTCTCCTTTACACAGTACAAAATACTTGAAATGGATGAAGGACACTATAGTAATGCTCTTATAGTGCTAGCATAGAGACTAATTCATAAGCATTAATCTCTGAGACTTCCTGCGCATTTAATGTAATAACGGTATGTATAAATAAAAACAAATCTAGAAAACCTATGAACATGGGTTTCCTTTCTGAATTGTATGATGTGCTTACAGAGAGTTAGCAAATTGTCTGCACTTTTTTTTCCCAAATATGGGACATTTTATATAGTACATTTTATATTAATGATTTTTAACAGTAATATCTTTAGCACTCACGTCTCAAGTTCTATTTTAGTGTTTATGCACATTAATTAATTGCTGATGTAGGAAGCCTTTGTTAAATAGTTAATAGTGTTAAAGTTCTGCAGCTATTCACAAGTCTGTTGCAAACTACAGAAGACATCTTCTGTAAAGAAAAAAAACGTGTGGTCTGGTTGCACTGCAAGCTACATTATAATCTAAATCAAAAGGTATTTTCTTCAGGTTCCGATGCTAGAATTACAATTATTTTAGCACAGGGGTGTGGATTAAACAACCCAAAAGTATAGAAAAGAGTAACTGGGGGTGTCAATGTCATCAGATAACACGGATAAGCAGTTTTATGCAGTTGCAGACGCAATGTGCTCATTTCGTCACGTTGGAGCAATAACGCCATCTCCTGGTAATTAACGTCTTTAATTTCCAAAATTAAGCATACAGTACAACAACGCATTTTTTAGCTTGTCCATTTCTAGCGACTTCGACCTACCCATTTTTTTACCGCTTCATTAAATTCAGGGTTGCAGGGGAGCCTAAGCCTATTCCGGCAAGCAACAGGCACAAGGCGGGATAAACAGCGAACTGGACTGCAGTCCATCGCAAGACGGACGCAACCAGCACACGTTCTCACCAGGTCTAATCTCCCCAGAAGCCAATTTACTTACACTTTGATTTTAGACTGTGGGAGGAAAGTGGAGCACCTGGAGGACACCCATGCGAACGCAGAGAGAACATACATACTCCACACAGATAGCAACTCAGATGCGGAATTGAATCAAAGCCCCGTGCGCTCCGAGGCAGCAAACCTAATCTGAAAAATTTATTTTTGGTTTGGTTTTAAGGACTGTGAAGTATTGTTTATTTTTTCTTTATTATAAAGTCACGATACTTTATTTTCTGCTGTTCTTTTTGAACACTTTATTATGGGCTCTTAAATACCATTCGTAACGTTACCATTCTATCACGTCTTTCCAAAACTGGGTTTATATCGCAATTTTAAATGCATGGATAGGTCACTAAACTAAAATCAACTAGCCCTTTAAAAACGTGAGACGGTTTAAGTCCTATTGTTTTGTTTGGTTGCTAAGTGCAAGCATTAGACACCAAATGAACAGAGATGAGATTATAAAATTCGCACACGAAACTCCATTTATTGTAAGTATTCATGTGTATTGGGGAAGGGCGTTAAAATAACAAAAGAAGAAGCATTTTGAACAGTTTATGATTTTTGAAACCAAACAGTAGATTTAATAGCACAACCATGTCCAGTATGGAGTAGACCTCGAAAATAATTTGATTGGTTGAAAGGTACTATTCAATAGTGCTTTTCAACGCCGGCATTTCAGAATCTAGCTGAATGTTAAAACGTACAATTTATGAAGACTTTTTTTACAGTGCATTCATAATCTACATTTTTAGGTAACAAATTGTGGATCTGCGCGCTGCAAGTGTCAAGCGTTTTACTTTTACAGTACGCAAGGTGTTAACAAAACTGAATATACTGTAAAAGGTTGCAGACAACAAATACAGTAATGGATATTTGTGATACTCAGCATAATGAGAATGCCTAATCTAATTAATGATACCATAGAAATGTACCATACGTACTGTATATGTGTGTAAGGTCTGAACCTATACTTTGTTTGACATTTGAAGAATATTTTTTTCTGAAAACAATGTAAAACCTGCACTGATGTTCAATGCCAGCTCAGGAACTCCTGTAGACTATCCTTTGTCTTACTATTATTGCTTAGTTCTTCTACGTCCACACTTTAGTGGACAGCTGTATTGCTGACCTCATATGGATTATCATTATTATCTTTCATTGACTAGATATGAACTTCTGCTAAATTAATTTCACTGGGAGTCAGACAAAATATAATTATGACCTAATAATGGGTAGTATGTACTGTATCACTACATAAATGCAACATAAAGAAGATGCTCTTGGTTGTGAATCTCAATTGTGCTTCTTCATCTTACCACCTTTTGTTAATTTGTTTTAATGTTTTACTTTAAAATGTAACATGTACTGTAGGATTAAAAGGCTTTGCAGACCACTTTTCTGGAGATGGGGTAGATTTAGTAGACTCTGTTCAGATGAAAGAAAAAAATAACTTTAACATTATATACTGTATTGGGTGTCCTGTACATGCATCTTATTCCCCATGCAATTTTCCACAAAGCTCACAGTCTCTAAACTAAAACATTTGTTGGTTAAATGTTTTAAAAGAACAATAAACAACAGATACAGTAATTAACCATCATTAGCTATTGGTGAGATGCACAAGCTTAATTAAAATTCTTCTTTTAGATATACATATGCAGATAGTAAGAAGTTATTAGAACCCCCAAGTTGCTAGTCTGTTTCTTAATAAACTATACTTGTATAATATTTTTTAAATGGAGTTCTTAACTGAAGTTTGAAGGGAAGAGAAGATCACTTTATTGGCCATATACAATTTCTTGTATTAGGAATTTGTCTTTTTGCATGCCCCCACTTGCTCTCCATGAGACACACAGACAGGGAGAGAAGCTTGGGGTCAGAGCGTAGGGTCAGCCATTTATACAGCACCCATGGAGCTCGGGGGCCCAAGGGAGTAGGATTCTTCTGCCGGCCATGGGATACTATCACGGATGTCGGAAAGGACAAACCGTGGAGAGGCAGGAGAGCGAAAAAGACCCTATGCAAGGCGGCAGAACGGGGAGTTAGCCCGGGCTCGTCAGTGCAAAGAGTTCTGGAGTACCGAATAGAAACCTATGCCCTCAGGTAGCAGATATGGGGGGACCTGGTGCTAGGCGGGTCTCAGGACATCCGAACGTCAATGCCAAGCGAGGCAGAATAAGTGACCTGGAAATATATAGCCCAAGGAAAGAGGGAAACCGGAAGGACAGCAAAGCAGGAAACTAGGGACAGGACAGAGTAGGAGCGCCTTCTGGCTGCAGAGGGCATGACAGATACAAACCAGCAACCTTCCAGCCACAGGCGCAGATCATTGGCCACAGAACCACTGCACCACATTGCACCACCCATTTGAGAGGGATGACTACACAACCAAATCATTTTTCTCTCAAAAGGGAAACAAAACATTTTTGCAGGTCAGCAAAAATGCCATAACTTAAATTTGTATAGCTGGCAAATTGCGAGTCTCGGGATATGAGTGACCGGTGAAAGGCTTGCTATGGTGCTTATGCTGTTGACAAGAGGGGATGTGGCTACACTGAGGCTATATATACTGTACACCTCATGTTAATCCTTTAGAATTTGTATTTTCCTGTTTAACCTATAGTCCTGCTAATATTTTCTGCTTTCTTAATCAGAGCATTTAAAATGTTCAATGCAAATAAACTTTATCCTATTATCCTTAAATTAAATGTACTACATTTTTAAGTGTTAGTGTGTTTTAATAATGATAGTATTATTAGTGAGATAGCAGTAAGTTAATCAATTTTCCACAAACATTTCAAAATATTTTTCCATGATTTGTTTTTGAACAGATGAAATGTGGAGGATAGCACTTTACAGACTACATAAAAGAATCCAAGAAAGTTAAAACAGAGACTTCTTGGTGGTCTCTGGGAAAAGTATGAGATCATACCAAGAGACCAAGACAGGATTTTCTCAACCAGCTATAAAAGAGGTTTGTTCAGCAGCAGAGCAAAGGGGAGATCATGAGGAAGCCCAGAAGAAGAGGAATGTGAAGAAGAAGACAATAGTTGTCAATCTGCAGAACATGTATCAGAGAGAGAAAAATGAACAGTGTTTTTCTCATAATAAGACATCCAGGACCAGTGAAGACAAGCAAGGGTGCGACATTTTAAGGAAAAATGCCAGTAGCAGAATCAGGTGGTCTTCACATCCTAACTCCAAAATACCGTCTCTGGGAGAGATAGAAAAGGAAATCTCCAGCATTACAAGAAATAATTCTGAAGGAACTGGAGTATCCAAAGACAGAAATCACCAAAGACTGTTCATTGCGGTTTTGAAGCCTTTTGGAATACGGATTCTACGGTGTCATTCAGCACCTACAAAAAATGTGTCTGTGGAGTACCTGAAGAAAGCCAAACTGCAAATGAAAGCTAACAACGTTTTAACAGAGGAAAAGAAGGAAGCAGAAGTGGGAACCCTCCCTCTAAAGGCAGCTACAGTATGCAGGCTGGACACCTCTGAGAACAGGCAGCTCAAGGAGTGGCTTCATCAGAAGAACCTGCTGAGGAGAAAAAAAAGAGCAGCCAGGAGGAACCAAAAGAGGCAGGAGAGGGAGGAGAAGAAAAGGAGAGAGCAACAGAAGCAGGAGAGAGCAAAGGACTCAGAGCAGCAGGTGAGAGCCTGGATGGAAAGGAAGAGAAGGGAGGCTTCTGTGCAGCAGAGTGCTAATCATTTGAAAACTGACAGGGGGTTAAAAAATCATGGCTCTGGTGAAGTATCCCAGCAACCAAAGAGCCATGATAGAGAGACACATCTACATTGTGGTACTCATGCTCGTCAAAGTCAATGCTTACAAGCAATGAAACAGCTAAACAGACCAAAAATGGATAAATTGGCGATCCACACTAGTGCAGACCCCTTGCCCCAAAAGACAAGTCTGATTGGTGAGGGACAAACAGATTCGAGGAAAGACGGGAACACAGCTTCAGAGAATCTTTCATTAGAATATAACATGCTTTCTAGTAAAGTAAAGCAAGAGGGCATTGCTGCTTCACAGCCAGTTGGTCAGATATCAAGCACAGTGACTGGTCTTACAGAGGAAACTTTGAGTAAGACAGCAACTCCCAAGCCTCTGGCATCCCAGAACAAAAGAAAGGGGAAGCCTACAGACACAAGTAAAGTTCAAGTGATGAGAACTGAAGAAGTATCCAAAAATGAGACTCTTTCACTAAAATCTTCCAAAACCATCAGAAGAACTTTAACAGATATTAAAGTAGTACCACACGAAAAGTCCTTGCTTACAACCAGTGTTGGCACTTTACAAGATGCCAAAGATGATAAAAAAGGAGAAAGCTGGAAGACCAAAAAGAGCTTAGCTATCATACCAATGAAGCCCCTCAAACCACATAGATCAGAAAACAGGCCTCTGTGCTCTAAAGGCCCAGACAGTGGAAATAAACTACCAACAAGTCTTAGGCTATCTCATAGTGAGTGGCTTCAAAGGAAGACAGAAGAGAAGAAGAATGAGGAGAAACATAAGAAAAAGGTGGCCCAGTTGGACCCTGATCTCCAGGACATTATCCCAAAACTGGCCAGGAGGAGAATAGAAACAATCCGAGAGGGGAAGAAGAAGGTGGATACAGGGATCCCTTTTAATAGGTCTTCTGATATGGAGTCAATTCTGAATCCAGTGACCAGACCAAAGTGGGTTAAAGATGCAAAGTTGAATTTGGCAGTGGAGCAGCAGTTCCTGCGAGTGCTGGCCCAGAATGCAGTGAAAACAGGATGTAGTGACATTTCAGAGCAGAACCTGAATGCCAATGAGTCTGAGCCTGTCTGCTTAAAATCTGTCAAATCTTCAGACAAATGTAAAGGCAGCTCCCTTAAAATTAAAATCAGAGGGAAAAGAGGAAATAGAACAGATGCAACTGGAAACCAGGTTAATGTGAACTTACCTGAGCGCCCTGAGCCTCAGGGAAGTGAAGGAGAGGCAGTTTTCAAAACTCAGTGAGGTTAAAGAATATCAAACTTGTTCTGAAAATTTTGTTTGCTCTCTATATCTATATATTAAAAACATTATGTAACTATGTAAATTATGAAGTGCTGTATTAGGAAAATCATTTCATCTTAAATGGGTGGTTACTCTTTGTCACAAAAGGTAAAGAGTATATCTCAGGTTTTAACATATTTCACCTTATGTGACATGGAATAATACCTTCATTACTGTGTTGCTGGTCACTAAAGTCTACTGACAATGGAAGCAAACAAATGTATAATTACTGTATGCTGATATTTAATATTGTGTGACTGATGTGGTGCACTATTAAAAAATAACAATTTAAGCCAGTTTATTAAGAACATTATGTATTGGTTATTTAGTTTGGAAAAGGGGTTTAAATTAAAATTATATAATTTTATCACTTCAATTTCAACACAATACACTTTCAATACAAATTCAAATACAAAATCACAGGTCCTGAGAAAAAATTGCAAACATTAAAAATGCATTACTGTACATCCATTATGGCTTTGCAATGATAAAATCATGCACATGCCATTCTGTGAAAACATTTGTTTTATTTTTTTTTTTGAATTTAAGAGTGATTATTGTGCATTTGATTTTACTTCTGCCTTCTGCTACCTATAATTTACCTATAAATTCCACCATTAGTTGTGGATTGCAGCTTTATAGCTTGAAGAGGATTCCACAGTTAAAAACAAACCTTTATAAAGCAAAGTCAAGTTTTTATTACAGGCAGAGAAAAAGTGTAGTTCTGATCCAATAAGTTCTGTTAATAATAATTTTATCTCCATATGCAGATGACATTTCACCAAGCACTTTATTCAAACATAAACAAGTATTTCACGCAATTCCAGTTATATATTATCACAGCAAGAGTATAATTTTATCACGGTGAGAGTATAATTTCTTGAAATACCTTTTTAAATTTTCCATTAACAATTTTCCATTTAAATATTCCATTTACATTTCCATACATATTTCATATTAGATCTCTCAGATTTCCCCCGCTTCATAATTTCCATTTAATGGAATTTTGTCATTTGTACTGTAATTGCCCATGGACACACCCAGCTTTACTGCCTGCAGTGAATGAAAATATGAAAAATATCCTGAATTTGTATTTTAAATAGTGTACTTTAATTTGAAAAATGGAATGGAAATCATTTCTATTTTTAGTGCAATTTAAATGATTTTCTTTTGTTTTTTAGTATTGAAAAATATACAGAGAATAAGAAACAATTCATAATAAAAATGTATATCCAAAGACTCAGACACAAGAGCATAGATTTTACTATGTTTTCAAAACCTTTTCTATGTATTTTCAAAGATTTTTCGATATTATATATAGTACATATAGCACTCTTAGAAAGGCATGGTGGTGCAGTTGTTAGCATTCATGCCTCATATAAAGACCTAGGTGCTATCTGTGTGGAGTTTGTATGTTCTCCCAATGTCCATGATAGTTTCCTCCATGTACTCCAGTTTCCACACAGTCTAAAGACATACTGGTACTATATTCAGATCATTTGGTAAAATAGAGCATTTCAGTCTTGACAGATACAGGTTATGCAAGATTTTAGCTGCTTATCCTGTATTTATTTCAGCATGCAGTATTTATTCTGCTTGTATTAAAGTATTTTCCTAAAACATAAGCATAATTCTTGTGCATTTTGCTTGTGTCCTATGAAATTTTATGTGTACAGATTGTCCTTTCTGGAAGAAAAGCTTTGTTGAAGTAGAGTAAATTATTAGCAAATGATTCTATTGATTTTCTTCTCCAATACCAAGGATGCCAGTTCAGGTATAGATCTCAGTGGATTCTCAGAGGGCAGCACAGCTAGCATTGCTGCCTAGCAGCGCTGGGGCCCTGGGTTCAATTCTAGGCCTGCGTGGAGTTTGTATGTTGTACCCATGTTTGTGTGGGTTTTGTCTGGGTGCTCTGGTTTTTTTCCCACAGTGCAAGAACATACAGGTAGGTTAATGACTTCTGGGAAAACTGGCCCTGGTGTTATTGTGTGCTTATTTGTGCCTGTGTGTGCCCTATGATATACTGCTGTCCCTTGCTTGCATCTGGTGCTTGCAGAGATAGGCCCCAGCTTCCACTACAATGCTATATCGGATGAAACAGAAAATTGGATGAATATACTTACACGATGTAATTAACAGACTTTTTATACTGTAGATACAGCAGGATATCTGAATGTAAGTCTGAATGTTTTACGTTTATGAGAGACTGTAAAACTTACAAGTATGAGCTAGCAATTAGAGATCTCAGCTTTGTGCTATTTGTCAGTCTTTTTTCATCAGCTTCTCAAAGACAGGGCAGTTCTTTTGGAAAGACAGCTTTCCCAGTCGGGGTCTGAACCCATCTGCAGAGGGGGGAGGGAGGTCTGGGACAGGTGGCACTGTCCTGTCCTTCTTGACAGCCGGAGTCAACCTGTAGCCAGTGTGTCTGGAGGACCGCAGAGAGACACTTATCAAAGGTTTGTGATTTTCAATAAACAGAGGAAAAATTACAGTTACAATTTGGTAATGTTTTCTTTTTTTAACAGTGTACCTCTTCCTATTTTCAATATATTTAATTCTTTTTTATTAGACAAGGATCTAATCAGTTCAAGGATCCACTAAACTGTTTATGAGATTTTTTACAGGAAATGGTAACACTTTCCATTGGAAATGAACTCTTTTAACCAGTAATGTATTGCAGTAACATGGTGTTAACAGAGTGTAAATAATATGGTAAAAATAATTGCCACTAATAGATAATTGCCTGATTGTCTACCAGTCAGACATATGTCATATTTCATGTATCAGTGGTGCTCAGAAGTGAACACTGTACTGGATCCATATCAGTTTGCATATAAACACCGGCGGCGCACCGATGATGCACTCAACAACATAATGCATCTTGTTCTAAAACACCTAGAGGACCCCAATGCCTATGCTCGGATGCTGTTTGTGGACTTTAGCTCTGCATTTAATATGCTGCAGCTCCATCTATTGATAAGTAAGGTGAACCAAATGTCCGTTAACCATAACATTATAAGATGGTACCATTCATTTTTAACAAATCACAGTATGTCAGGGTCAACAAGCTGTTCTTGGCTTAATGCATAGTATATATAGATAGTAGCAGCTCATCTGTATACATGTCAGAAATCCACAGATTTGTGCAATGGTGTGACAACAATAGCCTAATTTTGAATGCTAAAAAAACAAAAGAAATAGTTTTCGATCCCAGAACAGTTGGTGATCAATCACAGGTAGTATAATATATATAATATCGTATAATATGCAATGTTTTTCTTTGTGTGTGTGCCAGGAGTGCTGGCCGCCATAAGAAATTTCCTCAGGGGATAATAAAATCTTATCTTATTATATGCTTGAGTGTTCAGTTTGTTTTGCATTTATAAATTGTCATTCACATCCCTTAAACTGTTGTGTTATTAATGAAAGTAAAAACTCATATCACTGAGTTTAGATATTCTCTCTGATATCCCTGCAGATATTGACCAATTTAACATAAAGGATTTTTGTGATTTTTGTTTTGGGTGTTTTTGTAAGGTCTTTAACCTTGTATTTTAAAGCAGATAGTTGTTATACAGAATGTTGAAATATTTGGATAGTAATACAATTTATTTTGATAATGAGATTTATTTTTCTCTTTATGGAGTTTTTTTTCTTTACTTCCGTATCTAATGGTTACACTACTACTCTATGATCCACTAAAGTACTTTGCATCCACACGCTCTAATTCTGTTTTGATTTATTGTATTGTATAACCTTGTCTGTAAAGTACAGTATGTGTAAATAACTGTGTAAGCTCTCTATGGCAACATGTTGTAAAGGGTGCTATACAAAAAATCTAATTTATTTGAATGTTATTATATTTGTTTTACTACTAGCCTATTGTCCTTGTTTGAGACAATTATTGAAAAATGAGATATCTGGTGATGAGTACTTTTCTTAGTAAATTTATTTAAAGTTTCCATTGCTTTGGAAAGCTCTTCTATTCCTTACATATGGAGATAGGAAAACCTGAGAATAAGGGGATAGTCTGGTCCATAAAAAGGATCGCCATTATGCATATCGTAACCTTGCTATGAAGAAATTGTAGTTCTTGCAGTCGCAACATTGGTATCTGGAACTACACTTCCCACAAGGGGGTGGGAGTGGCAGTGTTTTAAGATGGCTGAATATGATGGCCCTGAGTTTAACAAGCACCTGTAAGGTGACCTTGATGAGTAGTGGATGTACTCAAATCTGCCACAAATCTCAATGACTGAGATGAAAGCATTTTTCTTTTAATTTGGTAAAGAACCCGATTTAAAGGTAAACCCTTTTGATTCAAGGAACCAAGTAAAGAAAGAAAACATTTAAAGCAAGGATCAGATTAAATTAATCATAGATTTAAGTCCTTAATGGCTTGAGACCCTCCTCGTAAACACCTTGTATAAATAGGGCACACTAACTTAAAAGATGCTAAATAAAACTAATCAATGATGCTAGTGATATGTGACCCAATAAAAATAAAAGCATTTTCAATGTATGTTATCAGTTAAATCAATATTTTTTCAGTTGTGTGTGAACAAACTAGTATTTTAAGGCATTTTGTAAAATGCAAATAATTATTCTGACAGTGTGTTTATACAGTATGTATTTTTACATATGGTTGGGATGGGTTAGTAAAGGTTTATTTTCATCCATGATTTAATCCATGGTAATGAAAATCCACTGCATTTTCATAATTCATGTTGCACAATGATAAACCACAGTAAATTATCATTAGTGTTATGAGAATAAACAACACAACATATTTTTAAAAGCATTTAAAACTTTAACTGTTTGTGAAAGAGTAACTCTACTGTTACTAAAAGTTATTTACAGTAGTATAGTGAACTGAACAATTAGTTAAACCAGGTTGTAGTAATAGTTAAAAATATAAGTTTATACAGAAAAACCTAACACACGGCAAACTAACCCTTTACTAAGAAAGGCATACAGACATGAGGACAGTAACATGAATTATTCAGGCAAATTTTACTCGTTTTTAAGGATCACAGTTACTGTAGACTCAAAACTATTCTAAAAATAGAATAATAACAGATGGCTTGTAAGGAAATGAAGAAACAGGTACCAAGGATGAAATATCTGAAAACTAGTGGAAGAGATGCTTCAACAAGTCTGTCCCCAGGGGCTTGGGATAAATGTTCCCCTTTTTTTGGAGATCAGCTTCCTTCTAATGAAAGCACAGCTAAAGGAGTAAAGATACCCTGTGTGGACTCATCTAGAAATAGCAAAACCTTGATTACTGTAATTTGCTCTGAGACATTCAAGGCAAGGAAGGATGACTGCGAAACACAAGAAGCTGCTGAAAATTCAACTCATTATAATTCAAAGCCTACATCTCCTTCTCAGATGAAAGAATCAACGAAATTTGGACATTCAGGAAGCATTAAGGAAGCAAACTGGGATTTTCGGCTGTGAAAAATGAAATCCTGGGATTTGCAGAATGCAGGCGATTCAGATCTTAAAGGAGCAAATGTGTTTTCTCAGAATATGTGCATGTTATGAAGATTGCAGAGATTTCAGTTCTCACTTTAAAATTGAAACTGCAAATGTATCACTCATTTCTGAGCTTTGCAATCAAAACAAACACAATTTTAGATGGGTTTAAGAATAAAAGGAGCTCCTCCAGACCAGACATTTAAAAGTCCACTATGTATACTTTTGTTATTCAAGGTCTCATGGACAACAACATGAAACACAATAGTAAAAACCAACAGTCATATATTATATGCTATATAATGCTTGTTTTCTTTTCTATATTCTGGGACCTTACCTGGAAATATTAGGAATTGTATTATCATAAATGTGCAAAGGAACAACTCTTAATCACAATAAAATGATCAGTTTATTTAAGATCAGTACTGATAAGCAGAAATTTTATAGTGAAACAGTTGAGACTGATAGATGCTTCTGTATATTTTGAAATGTTGTGTTCTAAAATCTTGCAAATACTGTATTGTTATACATGACTATAGGAGCTAAGAAAAAACATATTGCAGCAGCAAATTTAAAGTTTTCAATCAAACCTGTACTAAAATTACTTTTAATTTCCTAGTCCTTCCTCTTGCTGAAGATGTCTTGAATATAAAAAAAAATTAGATGAAGCAAAGAATCACTGTGGAATCAGGATTGAGGTTGACATTTTCTAATATTTAATGTTTAACATTTTCTTTTCAAGAGGTGAAGTAAGTTCCTCATTGCTAGTCCTCAGAACCTGTATATTCCTAACATCAATATACTGTACTAAATTACTCAAGTGTACTGAACCCTTTAGGAGAGCTTTATTTTCTTTGTTTGATTAGATGTTTTAACTGTATTAGGTGTTAAACAGCACAGAGCATTGGAATTCACATTTGCCCTAGTACTGGGTTTCAGTTTGGTTGTCTAGAAAAACTTTGTATATTTCTTCTAAACAGGAACTAATTAAACAATCAGACCCACAGGCTAGTTCAGTAGATCCTCAGTGTCAAGTAGGTTACAACAACGATAGAGGTCTTTCTGTATCACAGGGTGTATTACTGATATTATCTACTGCAAAAACAACTACATGAAATATTTAGAATGTTTTCTATTTATTTTTATGTTTTATTATAAATCATCTGTTATCCCATGAATGAGTCATTCAACATTTTACAGTTCTTTCATTGTTGTGTTATTGAAAACATACCTTGTATATGTTATTTTATGACTCCACTTCTCACTTGACAATTCTATTTTTTTCACTTGTGCGTGCAATTCTGTGTACTCTTTTATTGTGGAATATTAGGCCCTTTTGTACAGTATGTGTAACATTCTCTCCAGATGTTTTCTCTTAATTTCTCTGTTAAAGTATTTTAAACTGTATTTTCCTAGACTAATTGTTTTATGGATTGAATTGTTTTCAGTATTTGTATTTAACATTCAGTATTTTCTTTAACATTCTTTGGGACACCACAAAATAATTTCCTGCCTCGAGCTCTGGGAGTCCAGGAGTTGGATACATGCTATTGCTGAGACTACCTGCAGTATCTCTTTAATTGCTGTAAATTAGAGATCACACTCGAGAGTCTATTGCAAAGGTTCTAGCCTCTCATTCCTGTGAACAGTGTTGCGAAAATATCAGTTACAGCAAATTACAATGAATCCAAAGAAACAGTGAATACAAGTAGAAATAAAGTTGCCGAGTGATAATTGATCAATAATGTCCTGGTAACAAGCAGTCAATGCTTGGGTTGTTATGTCTCACCTATCTGGCTGAATCGAGACCTGTTGATAACTGTGATCTCACTGTAAACAATGTGGGCTCACAGGATATCAGCAAATCAGAGGGATCAATAAGGACACCCTAGAAGAAATAAGTGCGTTTAACATCATCACCTGAGAACTGTCACTAGTCACAAAAAGTTAATGGCACAGCCCGAACTTGATTTGATGATTTCTGAGCTTTAGGATTCATTCTGCCCCTGAACAAGCACTGGGTGAGCCTCACACTGAGACCACAGTGTGTTCTAATTTACCAAAGAGCATGAACATACTGGAATATAACACATTTATCATACTGCTTGGAGTAGAGAAAAAATGCTGAGAAAAGCCCAACAACCTTGACCACAGTCCATTCATATTGTTAATTATATTATACAACTGCTATACAGCTCTGGTTAATAAATCACAATCAGAACAATTGAGAAACCTAGAGGTAAGTGAAACTGTCTATACTATACACAGACTCCATACATAAAAGACATCTCAGATAAAGCTGTATGTCTATACCCATTCCTTTGACCAGGCTTTAGTCTTTTTCTCAACTAGTGTTCTCTAACGCTCATCCAAAACAACGACTGCAGTATTCTTAGATGCTTTAACCATACTGAAATGTGTAATTCAGTCTTACTTAATTCTTCCTCCTATATCCCTTCTGCTAGCTGTTTCATGCCTCACTACTGTAATTAATTCAAAGCTGCTCACATTATCTGAGACTCAATTATCTCAACATGCAGTTTGTGCGGTTTTGTTTCTCTCAGGCTATAAATAACTTGTAACATCCTGAACCAAAAATGAGAAGAATGACATAAAGGATTGCATTGTTTATGGAAAAATCACACTGCCTCTACAGTGGAGTAGTGAAGAATACAGCCTATTTTTCAATTGGATTTCAAAGAGTATCAGGATCAAGTACTACAATTACATTGAATAGGAGGACCTCTGTTTTTAAAATATTCAAGTTTGTTTTGTTTTACCACGTAAAACTTTGTTATGTGAACTAGACTAGTAAAATACTACTGCTATTAAATGCACTTCTGTAAATTTAAACTGTAAAAATAGCAAAAACAGATACAGTATGCTTAATGACTGTGCTGGTTTCCCCTTGATTTCCAGATTTTTACTGGCATGGATTGTGTATCAAATTACATCTTTTACTCATAAGCATTTGAAAACATGCTTATCCAAGCAGGTGGCATGTTAATTTTAGTCAGACACTTTTCAGAATTAACATGTCACTATTGGACACAAGTTCTAGGTAGAATAATCCTGTGTTTAGCCTCTTCATTTTGTTTTCCTTTAACCTTTCTTGCTTCTTTTCTTTCATCTCAATTGAGTTTTATAAGCAATGTGTCTCAAAATGAGACCTCATACTTCATTTATATACTCATACAGTGCAAAAGAGAATGTTCCAACTAAGTGTTTTTCTGATGGAACACTTCCAAATGTCGTTCCATAAAACCTAGACGCAGGGCAGAATGCATGGTGCGCTGAACGCCTTGTTATAGCAAGACCTATCTGAACAGTCACCATGGAATGCATCTATTTGAGAAGAGGCCAGAGACAAAGATTTCAATAACATTTATAGAAAAATCAATCTGTAAGGCAGATACATAGGAGAGCAGATTCAAGTGGGAAAGTGAGAAACAATACATTAAAAGATCAGTCAAAAAACTTTTACCTATACTGTATATCAAAAGAGCATACAGACGCATAAGATGAATTAGATAAATCAATGGTTTCAAACATCTATATCAAAATCTGTATATAGGTCATATACAGTATATAAAATATAAGAAAAAAAGATTCGAAAGGCATTAGGAGTACACTACAGATCACCAAATTCAGATACTAATTTTAATTCAATTTTATATTGCATTATAATATTGCTGCAGATGGACTAGTAGTGGCACACTCTGTACCCCCACATTTTCAAACCAATACTCCAATATGTGACTGGGCAAATTCCAGTCTTTGCTTGTAAAATCTGGTGAAACTAAAGTTTCTATTTAATCCAATAGATGAAGATTTTTTTCTCTTCCAAGTGATCTTCTGCAGGCTGTTGTACTGTTGCAGGCACATACTGTAAGGGCAGCCCAAAATTACCCAAGTGGTTGAGTTTCAGTGGTGGATGAAATAGCTCTCCTACTATTTGTAAAGCACTTTTGGAATTAGAGTACTAAAACACAGACAAGAGCTGAATCCATGTTTTTGTGTGAGACCTCAGTTCCTAATGATCTACAGGATTATCATAGGATTATTTTGTATTTAAATAATCAACCAATAATCAGAGTCCTTAATGTTGTCTCCACAATCTCATTTATTGCATGTCTTGCAGAAAGTACCCTGTTGTATATTCTATTGGCGACTGACTTTTTCAGGAAACATAACAGAACAGTATGTATTAGTTTTGTCTAAGCAACTACAGCTGTTGCCCATTTTTACATCTATCCGGCCATAGTGATTACACTGTTCTGTCTGTCTCCTTTTACAGGGTTTTCAAGACTCATACTCTTAAAAGATATCAGAAGCCAAGATTATCCTCAGACTTGGATTGCACCTTCCAACAGCTCTATTTTCACATTTCTTTGTAGAATCTCTCCTTTTTTATAGTTCAGCTTTATGCATTTGCCCTGACTTCCATTAATTTGGGCTTTAAATCCCCACATTCTTTCTCACACTTTATGATAGCCTTCTGTATGTTTTACTTTTTACTTTTTAGTGTGGATTTAACCTCTACTTTTTCCTTTGTAGGCTGCACACTGATGCAGCTCCCCACTCAGCCTTCAAACTAGATAAGGGATAAATACTTAGACTGTGTGATGTAATTAGTGGAGTATCACAGGGATCTGTACTAGGGCCAGTGCTATCCTTAATTTAAATAATAAATTATAATAATAATGGCACTTAAAGTTCATACGGTAAATACAAAATGGGAAATGCAGATCACATAGAAGAATTAACATACAGTATACTAAACAATGTGGAGAAGCGTTTAAAAAGGCAAACAAAATTCTAAGCTATATGGTTAAAAATGAAGAATTTAAGTTAAGGGACATTATGATAAAATTATCTAACGTACTCATATAGCCTCATTTACAATATTGTGTAAAATTTGGTTGCCACCTCACAGAACAAATATTGCTGTGCCGAATCAGTCCACACTGAAGGAAATTAACCTGCTACAAGTATTCAAAATCCTCAGGTACTAAGTCAACACAGTGGATTTCCTTCGAGAAACAGCTGGATGAGATCCTTGAATCAATTAACTATTAACTACCAAATGGGCTTTATGGACTGACCGACCTGTAGTTTGTAACAATCTTTTGTAAGGTACCTACCATATGTTCTTATTTTTGATATATTAAGTATACTAGTCAGTTTCATCGATGATATCAAATAGGAAGATAAGAAAACACTGAAAAACCATCAAGGAAAATTATAAAAAGACTAGACAAAAGTAAAGGAAACTATACTCCTATTATAGTAAGATTTGCTAATTTAACTAGCATATGATGTATTCCAAAATCTAGATCAGTGATATGAATTTGTAAGAAATTGTAGTAATTGATAATCAAATCATCATATTCAACATTAAGCAAAGTTCCCCTTGCAGTACTTGAATGGGAGACCTATTATCATGTTAATAAATCTAACATCATGTTTAGTAGTGCTGGTGGACCACAAATATTTATCACTCTTCTTCCTTGGATACGAAATTCCAAACTAATGCTCCTAATATAATAACAATGACTATTGATTTTTAGGAGTACTGCTGTTTTAAACTACTTGTGGTCATTAAAACTCAGTTTAGATAAAATCAGCAATAAAAAGGCACCAGAGTAAGAATGCTAAGCTGTGATATCCTGAATTTAATTGTTAAGTTCAGGTTATCTAACTTTCACCTTCAGTTTTAAAAAAAGGCTTAACTAAGTAGCTCTCCAAATAGTAAGGGAAAGGCTATAATTACAACACCCAGAAGGAACCCATGCATTGAGGAACGCATAATTTAAAGGGATGCGTTGATTTATGGATGTTAGCAAGCAGCATCTTTCCTAACTCCCAAGTAACCAAAAAGACAGTTTAAATGTAAGCGAAGGTACTTTAATTAGGGATGTATTATTCACCCTGTTTTTCGAAAGCATGCAAATGATGAAGTTATGCAAGTCTGTTTTTTGGATACCTTTTGAAGTTTTCAGGAGGAAGTATGTTTCCATGACTGTCCAGAGTAGGTGTTCTGATCTGGCTGAGAAAACTGATCCTATCTTGCTCTCTCCTTGCTAGGTTTGATTGTACCGATGCCTTTTTCCTGGACCAGGAAGATGTATGTCCCTTTTGTGACAAGAAATGCGTGTAGGTATTGGGGCCCATTCTGGAAGGTTTGGGTAGGGAGAGGGGATACAGAGAGGCTATCATGACCGTAATGTTCTGGGCCCGGCTGTGATAAGCAGTGTCTCTCCACCCTTGTTCCTGCCAATTAGGGTCCTCCCCAGCCTTCAACCACTGAATGTACTCCAAGCATGGCTTGTCAAGAGGGATCTGCTCCGTGGACCGGCTAAGCCAATGCTGGAGTCTCATCTTGGTGTCAGAGCTTCTTGATGGGCTTGTGAGGATAAGCCTCTGTGTGGATCGTGGACAGAAGCTTGTAAATTTGACCATGTCCATTCTGCAGAAGTCAGATAAAAGCAGTGTTAAACTCTTGCCAGAAACACACATTGTTGTGCCCTCCAAAGTTTAGTTGGCAATCAACTAGACAAATCCCATGCAATGAAAATAAACAGTGTGCTAAGTGACAGTGTTGAGGAGCATTTCAAGAAAAAATACAATTGAACATGGTATAAATCACAAATACAATTAATCCCAGTGTTATGCTCAGGTCCCTGACATACAGGGACTGTGATGATTGGCAAGCCAAGCTCTACGGGTGTTCAGAGAGACTCTGAGGAGTTCTGGGGGGACCAAAGGTCTGCCTGAGTTTCAGAGGCGGACTAGTTGGTGTGGAGAAAAAGATTAGCTACTGTAAATCTAAGGTGGTGTGGAAAAAACATTCCCTTACTTGTCAGTGCCATTAGCGGCAATCATTGTGATAAAATGAGAAAAGCACTAGAGTTCTGGTTAGTGGAACTGAGCATCAGATCAACGTTGGAGCACAGAGCAAGCAGGGAATCAACCTTAAATAAAGAGCTCAAGTAATGATTGGGGTGTGCCTGATTAATAAATTAATGGGGGCTGGGAGATGTGGCCTGAGTGAATCTGCACGGGGTTAGACAGGTCCCAGTGCGAATGTGCTGGTTGTTAGGGGCAACACTGGGATAAGAGCCACTCTCAGCCTGTGTGTAAAACCCAGGACCAATTAACCTGTTAAAAACACCATATATTTATAATAATAATTATAATAATAATAATTGCTTACACATATATAGCGCTTTTCTGGACATTCCACTCAATGCGCTTTACAGGTAATGGGGACTCCCCTCCACCACCACCAATGTGCAGCATCCACCTGGATGATGCGACGGCAGCCATAGTGCGCCAGAACGCTCACCACACATCAACTATCAGTGTGGAGAACAGCAAAGTAATGTAGCCAATTCATAGATGGGGATTATTAGGAGGCCATGATTGGTGAGGGCCAATGGGAAATTTGGCCAGGAAGCCAGGGTTACACCCCTACTCTTTTCGAGAAACGCCCTGGGATTTTTAACGACCACAGAGTCAGGACCTTGGTTTTACGTCTCATCCGAAGGCAACGCCTGTTTACAGTATAGTGTCCCCATCACTATACTGGGGCATTAGGACCCACATGGACCGCAGGGTGAGCGCCCCCTGCTGGCCCCACTAACACCTCTTCCAGCAGCAACCTTAGTTTTTCCCAGGAGGTCTCCCATCCAGGTACTGACCAGGCTCACACCTGCTTAGCTTCAGTGGGTTACCAGTTGTGAGTTTTATATTTAAAAACTCCCCAGGGCACTGATCCTCTGGATCAATTGATTGTAGGTTCTACATGCCTGAACAATGAAATTCACTCTTTTTGCTCCAGTCATTTGCTCTGCGGTATAAGTAAGAACTCTCTGAGGGTGTGGTTGTAAACACTAATTAGTTATAGTCTAGTTTACTACAGGATTAAATTAAAAATCTAAATATTAAAAAATATCAATCTAAATATAAAACAGAGTCATTCTTTCTTTCTCTGAGTTGTTTTCAATCAAAAACACTTTCTTCAACTAACTTTAAATAACTAACTTTATCCTCAAAAGCTAAAAAGTACATACAGTATGTGCACACTGCTAATTTATATTTATGGAATAATGTATGAATATGTTTGCCACATTTTCACAGATAATTGTGTAAAGCTTATTTAAGAAGATACCTGACAATTAGTGTTAGAGCCTTACTCTACTCTTATAAGAAAATAATTGAATAACAACATTGTAATCTTATATGGGCTGACATACTGTATAATTCTTTAAATTTTTAGCATTTTCATTCATCAACGTTTAAATAGTAAAATACAACTTTTAGATTTTTTTCCTGTCAAAGAAAACTTGTAAGCAAAAAACGCTTAGGCAGGTCTAATAATTAAACCCAACATCTTGTCCACGTCTATTTTTCTTTTCCCAAAATGGTTACACTAAATTTACAATTATGTATTGACATTCTCCACCAGGACAGTGCATACTGTTGTAAATACACATTTTGATGAGGAACAGTAAACATGCCATAATTTTCACATACTATACGCTGTTGTAGGTTGTAGTTAGTTTAAATCTGCTTTTTAAGAACTGTTGAATGGATAATCTTTAGTCCCAACAAAATAAAACATGACATATTTTCAACTATTAAGACATTTTCAAAATGCTGTACCTTTTCTGTACCTTTTCAGAGTCATTGAAATGTTGTCCTTTATGCTGATGCTGATATTATCCTGAATAAAAAATCAAAGTATCAGGAACAGAGTACCTATATAGATAGATTATTATGTGATTATAGATTATTATGATACATTATGCATACAATTTAAAATCGCAGACTCTTACATTTACAACCCCTCTATTGGCAGTGGAAGCACTCTCTATGAAAAGCCACGGCAGTTTCAGAGACAGCAACTTTTTCTGCAGACTACCTTGACCTCATATAAAAAGCCGTGATGTCAGAGAAGTGGCTGAGTGCCAGGTGATACTGTTATTGTGACCTCATTGTGGGTAATGTGGTGGTTACGTCTGCTGGCTCACAGCACTCGGGTCCTGGCTTTGATTTTGTATTGTATCTTCTGGAGTTTTCTCCAGCTGTTCTAAATCCTTTTGGATACAATTATTAAATATAATAATATCCCCAAAGACATGTCTAAGTTAACCGGTGTCTCTGAATTATCCCTTTGTATGTGTGCCTTGCAATGAACTGGTGACTCATTCATTCAGGACTCACTTCATTGTACCCTGTGATTCTGGAACAAGTTGTGAACTGTCACAGCTTGTGCCAGGAATAAGTAATTTTCAGATAGATTCATTACTTTATTGCCATAACAACTAGTTATACTGTGTGTTGGTTTGGTGACCCCATACAATTAAAGAAATACCATAGATATATACAACATAAAGACAATGTCAGAATACATTCACTCAACACATTCACAAATGCATTAACAAACCTTCCTAATATGACCAATACTTCATTATGCAAATATGCGTAGTTGAAGCATAAGAGGTACTGTAATTGAAGACATTGGTCCATGTATAACCTAAGTTGAATGAAAAACGACAGTCTTCCAGTAGCAGTTTCACTTAGAAAATAACTCACTTAAACTTATTACTATTTAGCATCCATTAATAAAGTATATATTATATAAAATTTGATCAAGAGGTGTCATTTTCTACAAGATTATTAACACTGCTAAAGTTCTGTTATAGGTTATAAAGAATTTAAAAAATGGAATTTTGGGGAAAAAAAGTTACAATTCTTCATTAAACAGGCCAAACGTGATACGTAGTGCTTGTTTATGATTAAATTATGGGGAATAAGGGAAAGCATCATCAGTTTCTGATAATACTGTTAAGAATGGTTGCATATACCTATTGCATTCTTTTTAAATGGCCAAAAAACAACAAATGAATAGACTACACCGCTTCCCAATTCAACAGATTAATTAACAAATTCACCTTCTAAAACTCTACATTGGCATTTGATCACTATCCCAATATATCGAACTTTTCCATGGTTTCCATGTTAATTTACATCATCAGGTTCAACCAGTCCAGTCGACAACCTGCACATTTATTTAAAGACAGATTAATCAGCGATTAGGTGAACATCTGTTTAAATCATCAGAAATATCAGATGCTCACTGTTTTCTTGAAGCACTCAGTTTCTCCAGCCATTCTGAGAGCTGGATGTTGGGCTGGGAGTGGGAGGAATGCCACCGCACATTGAATTAGACTCTGCTGATTCTTGTTCACACATGTGTACATGGTCATTATAGTCAGACAATATTGGGAATCTGCTTTTGATCGCTCTTTCTGGCCACCTGGAACCTGCTTTACTTTATACAGTACATCAATATAGTAGCAGTAAACCTCTCAGGACAAACACATTCTTTCTGGTTTGAACTACCACTGCCACAGTGGCTATGCCGGTGATGAATGGCTGTGCAGTAACATAAATATACATCAGTAAATAATGATCGCAATGAGTATGTGGTTGCTCAGAAATTGTTTCATTTGTCGTTTTACTTCCTCTCTTCAAATGTCTTAATTAAAGCACAGACATTAGCTTAGATACAGAAGATCGAGGGCAGATGCTTTAAATCAGGTATACTGTATATTTTTTTAGGGTTAGGGTTCTTTTTCCTATTGTAACCTACAATATTCCAGATATAGACTACTTTCAGAATCATGTTTCTTACACATAATGCACAGTTGCTCAGTCAGAGCAGTCAGAGACACCTACAATACTAGTTGTCACTTTCAATTGAACTCCAAATGCAGGTGGTTTCACACCACACTTTTACAAATAACAATACCAGACTGAGTTAAATTAACTTATCAGCTTCAATAGTGGTGTAGCAGACAATCCATAAATTACATAGGATTTAAGAAATGTATTAAAAATAAATTTACTATTTGCCTCATAGTGAAAAAAAATATCAACTCAAAATTACTGAATTAGAGACTCTTTTCAGGAGTGTGCTCAGCAAAGCACTCCTTTGGAAGTTATACAAGATGAACTGAATATCATTAGCTCAGAAATTAATCTTCTATTTAAGAAGCATGAAGACTCACTGATCCACAGAGCCAGAAAAAAATATTTAAACAGCAGAAGACCCAGTTATTTGCTGGTTCTTTGACTTCATAATAATGAAAACTATGTAGACATTGTATAAGTTAAATCTTTCCATTAGGATATTTTAGCCAGCAGCCATATCACCATGCAACCCACTGAAGCTAAGCAGGTATGAGCCTGGCCAGTACCTGGATGTAGACCTCATGGGAAAAACTGCTTGGTTGCTGCTGGAAGAGGTGCTAGTGGGGCCAGCGGGGGCACTCACCCTGTGGTTCATGTGGGTCCTAATGGCCCAGTATAGTGACGGGGACACTATACTGTAAAAAGGCGCCGTCCTTAGAATGAGACGTAAAACCAAGGTCCTGAGTCTCTGTGATCATTAAAAATCCCAGGCCGTTTCTCAAAAAGAAGAGAGGTGTTACCCTGGCATCCTGGCCAAATTTCCCATTATGGCCTCATAATAATCCCCATCTATGGATTGGCTTTATCACTTTACTCCACTGATAGCAAGTGTGTGATGAGTGTACTGGCACACTATGGCTACCATCGCATCATCCAGGTGGATGTTGCACATTGGTGGTGGTGGTGGAAGGGAGTCCTTATTACCTGTAAAGCGCTTTGAGTGGAGTGTCCAGAAAAGCGCTGTATAAGTGTAAGGAATTATTACTATTTTAATGTATCTAACCCGGATAAATAATGCATTCTGTTTCTGTTGGACTTCACTATATACAGTAGCTCTGATACCCATTTTGCTAAGGAAATCTGCACATTTCCTTCAAAGCCTTGTTAAACCATTGATATTCGCAGAACTAAAGGATGTACTGCAGGGCATAAAAGATCTCCCATTTTACCAGAATTGATGGTACTGTATCCCATCTGAATTCTGTCTAGCTTTTTGGATTTAGTTGGCCTTCCTTTTGTTACTGTAGATATTAGTCAGACTGCTATTAAGCAAGTCTCATCTCCTAGAGATGTAAAAAACAGCTACTATTGTATGTCCTTACTACTAGAAAAGAACATTATCACCGTCTTTCATTAAAAGATCAAAAAGATGCCAAGCTCTGTCTTATATTATCACATCAGCATTAAGCTTTTATAACTAAAATAGTCCATATTGATTGAACAAGGCTTCTCAGAAGATGTTCTCCAACATGAAAAACACCATCTTCTACACATCACATACTTGTGCTGTTCAATCAATAGGTCCCAAAGAGCGTTTTACCAAATAAGAATGGCATCATCTCTGGTTGGCGTTCGATCTGATGGGGCTGGGCCCACAGTTTATTAATATAGTATTACTGCATATGTTAAGCCTTCAGTGTCTCTGCCCACATGCAATACCCAGTTTATTATTTCGAAAGGCGCTCATCAGGGCTCTCCACTTTTCCACTATTTTTGCCTTGTCATTGGAACTCCTAATTCTTGCTGTTTGGCAACCTTTCTGCTCCTATCACTGTCAACTCAGCTCAGCATCAGCTCCCTTCACACAGATGATGTGCACTTCTTAATGTCTCTAAATCAACGCCGTGTCTGTTCAGTGACAGGATGTATGATTAACTGATTAAAGACAGTGTTGATGTCCTTGAACACTGAGATGGAAGGTGCTGCCCTGCCATTGCTGAGTATTAAAATACTGCTGATTATGCATGTAAACTATTTAGGTGTAGATATTCAGCTCTTATTACATTCTATCATAACTTACATTTTTAATGATTTTATGACAGCTGAAGGCAAACATGAATAGATGGGTGTGTTTACAAGCTTCATTACAAACTGGCTGTGTTATGATAAAAATTAATAGTCTTTTTGCATTAAGATTTTCAGTCCTTTGCCTCCAAAATGAGAGGGCCCAGTGGATTACCGAGAAAAATCACGTGCTATGAATTCTGAATTTTTAAGGAGGGAGAAGTGGCTTTGGATTAAATTTTACAATTTAAATGTAAAAGAGATTTTAAGGAGGCTTTGCTGTACAACATTAATATCTTTATTTGGGGCATTTATTACATGCGTACATAGTATTCCCTAATACAGTGGATATAAAAAGTCTACACACCCTTATTGAAATTGCACACATTTTGTGCATCTTTTGTATTTTTTACAATTACAGTACCTTTAGAAAGTATTCCTTCCTCCTGCACAAATCCAAATATTATTTTATTACAATGAATTGTTTACCTTGATTCACACAACAGATGTTAACAATTTAAAGAGTCAAAAATATTTTTGAGACATCTTGAGAAGAACCATATCAGCTTTCCACATCTGGATTAAGGGATTTCTTCCCATTCTTCCTTAAACACTTGCTCAAAGTCTGTCAAACTGGATGGGGTATATTAGTGAACAAAAACTTTAAGTCCTTCTACAGATTCTCAGTGCGATTGACTAATGCTGGCATCGTAGACTCTACCTTCTCTTTGCTGTGGAACATGGTGATCTGTGGAGACTACCTTACTTAATAAACTTGGCTTTGTTATGTGAATTAGCTGTGGTGAGTGTTTTTACTGGCTTTCACACATAACAAAGGTAGGTGAAAGCTTAACAAAACAAGTCATTTCAGGGTTTTACTTTAAATTACACATAAAAAATGCCAGTACTTTTGTTACACTGTGACATTATATAGAGTAGCACTTTGTTTGTATCATTGACAAAAATCTGTTATAAATGAGTGAAATTAATGATAAATTAATTTTTATTTGAGTATAACTCAATTTAACAAATTGTGGAAAAAATCTAAGGCAGTGAACACTTCCTGTCTTAGGATTTAAAATCATAGTGAATCTTATTAGCCATTCCTTTATTTTTCTATACCTGCTTTTATGTCCCCAAACATT